TGATAATTTAATTGAAATGCAAGATAATGAACGTATGGAATTATTACAATTAAATACATTACAATTATCCGATGTTGCATATTTCTGTAATCGATATCCAAATATTGATGTATCATATGAAATTTTAAATAATGATAATCTTATTAGTAATAGTACCGTTAATATAAAGGTTAAATTAGAACGTGTTAATGAAAGATCGGAATCAGTTATTGCTTCATTATTTCCACAAAAACGTGAAGAAGGATGGTGGTTAGTTATTGGAGATTCAACGACAAATACTTTATTGTCAATAAAACGATTAACGATACAAGAGAGAAATGAAATTGTTTTGGATTTTATGGCCCCAACAGGTGGTAAACATGATTATATACTTTATCTGATGTCAGATTGTTATATGGGCTGTGATCATGAATATAAATTTTCGATTAATATTCAAAATCCTATTAATATGACATAATTATAATATTGTGTTTTTTGATACTTTTTTAAACAAGAAAAATAAATTTTTTATTCTACATCTACATGATTAATATTTTTATTCTTATTTTTTTTAGAGTTTAATTTTTTGCTCTTTTAAGTTATCGTCTTTATTGAAGAAAAAAAATCTTTCTATAGTCATTATGATTACGGATGATGATGATGATTGTTAAGAATGGATGAAATATTGAAAGAACTATTTGAAGCTTGTCGAAATGGAGATTTAGTTAAAGTTAAAAATTTAATTACACCTGAAAATATTAATGCACAAGATGTACTTGGAAGAAAATCGACACCTCTTCATTTTAGTTCAGGTACGAATTTTTAAATCGATAAATTTGCTTGTTGTTATTCGAATTTGTTTTTTTCTATTAGGTTTTGGTCGTAAAGATGTTGTCGAATATCTTCTAAGTCAAAATGCTAATGTTCATATGAAAGATGATGGCGGTCTTATTCCATTACATAATGCAGCAAGTTTTGGTCATGCTGAAGTTGTTCAATTACTTCTTAATCATCATTCAGATGTTAATGCATTAGATAGTTGGAATTATAGTCCACTTGCAGAAGCAGCTAGTAAAGGAAAAGTTGATGTTTGTTTGAGTAAGTTTTACTTTTCGTTTTTATTCATATAATATAATTCAAAATAATAAAGTTCTCATACAACATGGTGCTGATCCAAATTTAAAAAATAGTGATGGAAAATGTGCACTTGATCTTGCCGATTCATCAACACGACCAGTCTTAACTGGTAAAATATTCTTTTCATTCATATGCCATAATATGAGATTTATTATTTTTTTAATTAGGTGAATATCGAAAAGATGAATTACTTGAAGCAGCTAGATCAGGTAATGAAGAAAAACTCTTAAGTTTATTAACATCAACAAATGTTAATTGTCATGCAAGTGACGGAAGAAAAGTATGTTAAATTTTCTATTTCATCATAATAATATTTTCTTTTTCTAGTCAACTCCATTACACCTAGCGGGTATTTCAAAACAATAAACAAAAGAAAAATTATTATATACATATTTTTTTTTCTATATTTACAGCTGGATATAATCGATTAGCTATTTGTAAAATATTACTTGAACATGGTGCTGATGTTCTATGCAAAGACAAAGGTGGACTTGTAAGTCATATGGTATTTATAAAAATTATTATAAAACTATATCTCAATTATTGGGATTTTGATCGATTTTGTATAACTAAGTGTTCAATAAGTCAGATGTTAATTGTAACTCTCATTCTTATAAAACATAAGTCACAAAGGATGATCAGATTGAAAATTAACCCTATAACTTTATTTAATTTAAAATATTATTTAGGTTCCATTACACAATGCAGCTTCATACGGACGTAAGCAATATCTATGATTACGTTCATTTACTATTTATTTTACGTATTTAGATTACGAAGTTGCTGAGCTTTTAATTGAAGTACGATCTTGCTTTATTCTCGAAATTTACAATCTGATGATTTATTTCTTTTAGCATGGTGCTCAAATCAATGCTAGTGATTTATGGCAATATACGCCTATTCATGAAGCTGCTTCGAAATCACGTGTTGATGTTTGTACACTTTTATTAAGTCACGGAGCTGATCCAACTTTACCGAATTGTCATAGTAAAACAGCACTGGATATTGCTGCTAGTCGAGAGTTACGTGATCGAATTTTATGTATGTTATTATAAAAATAAATTCGTATTATTTTTCATTTTTTTTCTAGATGAATATAATGGATATTCATTTCTTGATGCAATACATCATGGTGATATAAGTCGAATTAAAAAACTTTTAACAAATGAAACTATTAATTTTCGACATTTTAAAACAGAAAATTCACCATTAGTATGTTTGTTTAATCAACGAATATACCTAATCAATAGATTTCTATCTAGCATATTGCTTGTATGTCATCCTCTGGAAAACATCGGCGTCAAATTCTTGAAATATTAATACGACGTAATGCTCTTATGAATATTTTGAATGCCGAGTAAATAATGATTTAGTATAAAAAAATTTTGATTCATAAATTTCATATATTAGACAATTAGCTCCTATTCATATTTGCGCTGCTGCTGATTATTGTGATCTCATAGAGATTTTATTAAAAAATAATGTTGATGTAAGCTTAAAAATATTTTTATTTATTCGAAATCAAAATTTTGTTTTTCGAATTAATTAGATTAATTTACTTGATGGTCAAGGACAATCAGCATTACATCATGCTGTTAAAGGTGGACATATAAATGCATGTCGATTGTTACTTTCACATAAAATTGATACTTTAATTGTATCATCATGTGGACAAACAGCATCAGATATAGCATTAACATCAAATATTCAACAATTATTAATGAGTAAATAATATTGAAGATTTATTTGCTAGACTAAAATTTATATTTTAGCATGTACAAATGACAAAATTGTTTCAACACCGAGTATTACTGATCTTGAATTACAATTACTTGAAGCATCAAAATCTGGTGATCTCGATGTTGTTAAAGTTTGTTAATTCTACATATCTTATTAAGAATAAAAACGTTTTTTATTGATTTTATTAGCATGTACTCACATTTAATCCAACATTAGTTAATTGTCGTGATGCTCTAGGTAGAAACAGTACACCACTTCATTTTGCTGCTGGATATAATCGCTTACAAGTTGTTGAATATTTATTAGTAATGGGAGCAGATGTTACTGCAAGAGATAAAGGTAATCAACGTCTATAAAACATTTTCAATCATTCTATTTTTGTTTTTTCTTCGTTTAGGTGGTCTTGTTCCTTTACATAATAGGTATAATTATTCAAACTAATTCATTTTTAGCGTACGTATGTATTCGGTGTTCTTTTTTAGTTGTAGTTATGGACATTTTGAAGTAACAGCATTATTATTAAAACATGGTGCATCACCTCAAATAGCTGATCTATGGAAAGTAACACCATTACATGAAAGTGCAGCAAAAGGCAAATTTGAAATATGTAAATTACTCATGAAATACGGTGCTGATACAAATAAAAAGAATCGTGATGGTGCAATACCACTCGATTTAGTTAAAGAACGTGATAGTGATGTAGCTGATTTATTACGTGGTGATAGTGCTATTTTAGATTTAGCTAAAAAGGGCAATTTAGAACGATTAAGAAAATTAATAACATCAGAAAATGTGAATTGTAGAGATCCACTAGGAAGAAATAGTACACCATTACATTTAGCTGGTAAATGAATACGAATATATTTTTGTTTAAATTTTCTTTATTGATTTTCTTTTTAGCGGGATATAATCATTATGAAATTGCTCAGATTTTATTAGAAAATGGAAGTGATCCAAATGCTGTTGATAAAGGTGGATTAATAGGTAATTAAAGATATTTAATCAATCGAATAAAATAAATAGGAATTCTTTTAGCTCTTCATAATGCATCATCATTTGGACATGTTGATGTTGCTACTTTATTAATTAATTATCATTCCGATGTTAATGCTCGTGATAATTGGTCATATACTCCTTTACATGAAGCTGCATCAAAAGGACGTACTCAATTATGTTCGTTACTTCTTTCTCATGGTGCAAATCCACATCTTCGTAATCAAGATAATCAAACTCCACTAGATTTAGCATCAGCTGATGATGTTAAATCATTATTAATGGATTCTATGTCAGTTCCAATATCTCCAACACTATCCATAGGTAATCATTCTCGAACAACAACAACAATACTACCAACTCGTGAAACAACATCTATACTTGGTGCTGAAACCAATGATAATCATAATTCTCGACGACGTTTATCATCTGCATCTAATCAATCACCAACAATTAGTCAACATCACGTAACAAGTGGTGATGGTAGTATGAGTTTAGTTACAGATGATGAACGACGAGAACAGGCACTTCATATGACAATGGATGAATTTTTAAGTTTATGTCAATTCCAATCAAGTCAACAACAAGATACATTACGAGAATTATTTGAACGTGAATGTATAACACTTGATATACTTGCAGAAATGACACATAATGATTTAAAAGAAATTGGTATACATGCTTATGGTGAACGTCATAAATTACTTAAAGGTATTGAAAGATTATATAAACAAGCAAAAGATCCATGGTCAAATGTACCCGATCGAGGTTCAGTTTTTATTGAACTTGATTCAAACGATCGAGAATATCGACTTGTTGAAGATGAAGTAAATTAAAAGATTTATTTTAGCGAAAAAAAACTTAAAATTGTCTATCTATTCTAGTTACAAAGTACTATTCGTGAGCATAAAGATAGTTGTGGTGGTATATTTACACGTTATATAGTATTAAAGGTAAAGAAGAGTGTGTGATTTGAAATCTCGTGTATACTTTTCTATTAGATTGAAAAAATTCGTAATCGACGTTTATGGGATCGTTATTGTCATCGTCGAAATGAAATTGCAGATGATAATAATGGTCATGAAAATGAACGTTTACTTTTTCATGGTTCACCATTTCTTAATTCAATTATGAATAAAGGTTTTGATGAAAGACATGCATCTATTGCTGGAATGTTTGGTTAGTTTAATTCTAAGAAAAAGAAGAAAAAACGAAAATACTTTTTTTTTCTTACAGGAGCTGGAATTTATTTTGCCGAAAATTCTTCAAAATCAAATCAATATATTTATGGTATTGGTGGTGGAAATGGTTGTTTAGTACATAAAGATAAATCATGTTATATATGTTCCAGGTAAAGAAAATTCTAGATAATTCAAGAAAGAAATCAAATTTACTTTTAGACAAATGTTATTATGTCGTGTATGTCTTGGACGATCCTTTTTACAATTTAGTGCATCAAAATTAGCTCATGCACCACCTGGTCATCATTCAGTTATTGGTCGACCTTCTCAAGGTGGTCTTGTTTATCCTGAATATGTTATTTATCGTGGTGAACAAGCTTATCCAGAATATTCTATTACATATAAGCTTTTAAATCCCATAAACAACGACAATGATTGAATGTTTTGTCTTTCTCTAAAACTGTATATAGACAAATAGTGGCACATATATATATATATATAAAACGGGGGGCGATGTGTTTTGTTCTTTTAAATAAAAATAAAATGTTTATTATTCACTTGGAAGTTCCAGTTGAAATATAATCGATTGTGTTCCATCATCATCATTCGATTGTGCCATTGATTGTTCAATAAATGAAGCAGGTCGAGTAACAAGACTTTGTAAAGTAGTATATGGTTGTACTTGATCAGTCGTTACCGGTTGAGTAGTACGCCATTTTTGTAGTGAATTATCAATTTCAATTAAAGCTAATTTAATTCGAGCTTGAAATTGTCGTTTACGTAATGAAAAAACAATTTGGGCAATAATAAGAAATATAGCAACAAGTATATATAATGTAAGCACAAGTAAATGAGAACTATGTGCATAGAAATCAATACAAGTTGTTATTGGTATTGTACGATTTTTTTTTGTATAAAATTGATAATGATTTTTTGCTTGATATATATATTCCGAACAAATCATTGCACATACTCTATAAGATCCAGAATCCAAATGTTTCATTTCAAGTGAATTTCTCCAAAATGTTAAATTTTGTTCAGGCATTGAATATGGATATTCACGATTACGACGAATTGTAAATTTATACATTTGACATTTTCGTTGATTAGAATCAGGAGCGATTTCAAATTGTATACTAGCAGTATGTGCATCATGTATACGAGCACGAAGATAAAATGGATTTTGAACGATAATATCTTTACATTCTCCTATTAATACACTAGATAGTATTAATAAAAATCTCATCCATGCTGGAACCATTATTTTATGGTTTTGTTCTATCGACAGACAGACAGACAACTAATATTCTAGTAACAAAACTATCTTTGTAATACAATAAACAACATAAATCATGTCATCGTACTAACGAGAGAATTATTTGTTCTTTTTCTTGTCTATCCATAATATGTTTTATGTTTATTCATATTAATATGTTATAACGAAGAAAAATACAAAAAAAAACTACATAATTAGATAATTAGTCTTAAAGGTATTGTTATTTATTTATTTAATTCTTTGGCTCGTTCTAATTGTTTTAATTTCGTAGCCAATTCAAGATTATCTTCTTCTTGAATTTGTATAGCTTGTTTAAAACTATTTGTTTGATGAATTGAATCTAATTCTGTTGCTGCTAATGAACCACGATGTGCTGGATCATGTGTAAAACTTGAATCAATACCAGCATTTACATTACTACCACGTCGATCTGTAGCAGACGTAGGATAACGATCACTTGGAGCAGTAGTTGACATTATAATAACGTATGTTTCTATATTATATAAAATACAAAAAAAAATGATAGTTATTGTATTAATCGACAATGCTTTATATTTAACCTGTAAATTTATTAAACCTTCAAGCTTCAACAGAGGTAATAATAATAATGATGACGATAATAAGAGAAAAGATATCACGCTGAGTTTTTATCGAATATGAAAAGCAATGGGTTTATTTCTTGTATTTCGTTTATGTTGTTAATAAATACTGAACTGAGTTCACGCAGTTCACTTCTTCGACGACCATACACTCACCGGCTGATGCATCGTTATAACGAAGAAGAAGAAGAAAAAAAAGCTAAAAGATAAGAACGAATGAGATTACTTTTTTTTTTCGTCATGTGTTCTGTACACGAAGAACAAATGATCTGTCATCGTTGTCTACAGTCTTTCACTCTATGAGTAAGATCTATAAATAAGAAAAATCAAGGATACGTCAAAAGAAATGACGCATCTAGAAATATTAATAGGTAATCGAAAATAAACAAGTTTTATTTTTATTTTAAGGGCGTAACTTTGAAATATAACGATAAAATTACAAGAATAATAGATAGATAAGCAATGTAACTGATTATTTTTATTTTATCTTATTGCTATCAATTGGTTACGTTCCAAGGTCGAACATTTATTATTATTTGAAGAAACAGATTCCACGTACGGTTGTCTGTCTTCTTTCCAAAAATATATACATACAACCGATAAAA